TCTCCTGAGGAACCAACCGTCTGATGACTCATATCGTCATGCATTGCCTGGAAGAGAAGCAATAAGCACAGGTCCCAAGATGTCCCAGAGATCATGAACTTAAGGGTCTACTGAGCTTAGTGAGGGTTAAAATGAGCCTCTGTCTCCTCCGCTCCCCCAGGTAGATGCCGGGGTTAGGGGTCTCTATCCAAGCCCACAAGAGGCTGTTGTTGCTGCTCCCCAAACTGCATTTGTTGGTGATCAGGAGAACAGAAAGAGGCAGCCATGTCCAACAGAAGAGAGACATTAAAGTTGATTAAGTGAGTGGGCCAATTAGTGTCTGGCTTCATGCGGTGTGGAGTTAATTAGCCTCTACAAAACAACAACAGCTGCCTTAATGGTAGGGCAAGAGGCCCAGCAGAGAGGAGTCATGGGAAGAGAAGTGATAGGGCCAGTGCTTAATAACTTGGCTGCAGTGGGCCCTGTCCCACTAAAAATGTAGAACAAAGCCCAAGGCAAACTTCTCTGCTTGCTTCCAGACCATGCGTGGAGGGGGGAGCCAACCCTTTCAGTCTCCTGCCCCTCCAAGAGAGGCCAAACTCACACCTCCTGCTTGAGTTGCTTTTTAACACTATATAGGACAACTTAGTTTGCATTCTAACAAAACAAAACTCATCACTGTATACGCTTTGCCTTGGTCCTCAGCTTCAGAGTTTATACTCTATCCCAATGGTGAAATTTCTTGTTTCAAAAATAGTATGTACTTATTGGGGAACATTGAGGAAGTATAGAAAAATACATACACACATACAGAGAGAGAACAGAAAATCAAAGACTAGTTTGATTCATGAACCATTTGTTGTTTGCCTACTAAATGCAAGGTGTTCAGACAAAGAAGACCTCAGTTTAAATTTCTCTTGGCAAAAGTTAGGTTTGCAGGGGTGCAGGGAGTGTAGTTGTGGAGATGGGAGGGAAGGGATGGTAGGGGAAAAACAAAGGAGGAGGCAACCGTGCTTGATAAGACGTGTACTCATTACCTAGCTCATGTAACTGTAACCCCTCTGCACAGTATTTTTACAATAAAAAAACTTATTTGAAAAGAAAGTTGGGTTTGCAAAGGAGGAAGGGTGAGTCAATGCCGTCATGATAGTCAATGTGAAAATTGAACTACGTAATTTGAGGGTAAGGATGTGATGGGGGGAAAAGCAGAGAATGATGGAAGGTTGATATTGATCATGATGCTTTGCACTCATAATCTGACTTACAAAATTATAACCTCTTTGTACAACTACTTAATAATTTTTAAAGTTTTGTGTGTGTGTTCGCTGTTTTACAAATTGGACTCCCTGGGCATGATCGTTAATGATCTACTTTATCAGTGACACATCCCCAACATTTTCTCTATCCCATTAAAATATTTTTAAGTGCTCAGGCCTCTACAGCTCCACTAATTACATGGCATTATACATATCCATTTATTTATGCCTTTTGCTTCTTCTAGCAATGTTTGAGAGCAGAGCTACTTTTTAAACCACAATAATCCCAATAGATCAGAGCCTAGACTCTAGCATGTGACAGGCACTCTTAAAAAATGTGATTAGTAAACCAGGTACTGGTGGCTCATAGCTGAGGATTATGGTTCAAAGTCAGCCTGGGCAACAAAGTTCATGAGATAAAAAATACTGGAAGTATGAGGAGACGGGGTGGGGGGGAGGATGGGATGGGAAGGGGAAACAAAGGAGGAGGCTACAATGCTTGATAAGAAATGTACTCATTATCTTGTCCATGTAATTGTAACCCCTCCGTACAGTATTTTCACAATAAAAAAAATACTAGAAGTAGAACTGTTGCTTAAATGGTAGAGTACTACCCTTGAGTGAAAAGTTCAGGGACAGTGCCTAGGACTTAAATTCAAGCCTCAGGACCAGCACACATACAAAAAAGTGATGAATACATAAGCAAATGAGTGAATTAATATAATCATCAGTTGTGACTGGGTTCAAGTCCAAGGGAACAACACCCTACCCTACCACAGCCCATGTGTGTGGCTTCAAAAAGGTAAACATTTATTTTTCTGCGAAAGTTCAGGAAGTTAGCTTAGAATTAGTATAATGCCTTGCGTTGGCCTGGACTTCCTTCCCAAAGTCATCTTCATGGTTCCAAATGACTGCTGAAGCTCCAACCACAATCCAACCAACGGCAAGGGAAAGAAAGGAGAAGGACTTGGGCCCCTCCTTTGAGGAACCTTCCTGGAAGTTCCACAAACCAAGTTTGCTAACGTTCTTGTTAGTTAGCATTTAATCACATGACTGCTTCTAACTGCAAGGGAGTCTGGGAAATGTCTTTCTTATGCATCTAACATTGAAGGTAACTGTTAATAAAGAAGAGTGGGATGACAGTTGAGGGACCATTAGCCAGGATACCCTTTGACTGATGGATTGACCACAGCCTCTCTAGCTAGCCCCTCCTTAATGGGACCCTTAGTTTCTTCAGATAGGGGGTCTATACACCTGTCAGGTCA